TCCTAGGAAGTTAAGTGATAGTTCAGTCTCCATGCCTGAGTCAGTACTGAGCCTCTCTTGATACTAGTGACAAGGGGATTAATTAGCACCATTTGTGGTTGGTTTTGAATATGGATGCTTGTCCATCAAGGACGAGGCTGAGATCACCAAACTCATCTGACATAGGCTCCCAAGCAGCAGTCAGATAACTATTCTCCATTTGTAATAACTTGGATTGGAATTAGCCTCCTAGATCACCATCCTGCAATCTAACAAATACCAGCAAGCCCATCTGCCTGCACAGCCCCCCACTGATTTCAATAGGGCTCCATACCAATGCAGGGGTCCACCTGTTTGCATCACTTTGCCACATCAAGAGCCTAAAACTGAAAGTTTCCATGTTACCAATCCCCCAAAACTATCCAAGTCCCACTTCAAAATCCTGTTCCCATTGCAAATGGTGAGAGTTTTCCGACTGACTTCAAAAGGATTAGGATCAGGCTTTCCCCCCTGTTTCTCCCCTGTTTAAAGTATCGGGGCGCGGGCGGGGGGGAGGAAATGAGTTACATAAGTATTTTTAAGATCTCCTCACCTTTTCCCTATTGTGCTTTTATTTATTTGGCTGGTTATTGCAAGTGAAGTAAAGCTATATCAAATAAAATATTTAAATACAAGTAGCTATCTCCTTTTACATCCATACATAACCACAGTGCACCGTTGGTACTTCTACAGCTAAATTCACAGTCTCAAAGAAACTGTAAGACATTTATTTCCAAGTGTAAAAAGGTGCAGAATGCAATTTCTACCTATTTAAAACAAGAATAACCGGTAGCAATGTAATGAAAGTACTAAATGCCCGGCTGCTGAAGCATACTATAACTAAAAATTGTGTAGGAAATGCATTTAATGGAATGAGTTATATACTTGATCTCACTGGAAAGCACTTTGTCTGTGGCTAAGCACCATGCCTGCAAAATTCCATAGAGCTCTTGGACTTCCCTAAGGCAAGTTTCAGACAGTATTCACACATTAAGTGATGCTATTTTTCAACATAAGTAAGTACTAAGCACAATCTGCAATGTTAACTTCACATGTCACTGTTCTTTATCATCAATTTTGTGTGATTTTGCCTTCAGTATAAGATATTAGAAGTGAAGGAATAATCTTTTAAATGTAGAGTTGTTTGCAAAAACCTACTGAATTATTATAGAACCATACAAATGTAGGACTGGAAGAGACCTTTATAGGTCATCTAATCCATTCCCCTGCACTCGGGCAGGACTAAGTATTATAGACCATCCCTGACAGGTGCTTGTCTAACCAGTTCTTAAAAACCTCCACTGACAGAGATTCCACAACCTTCTGAAGTAATTTGTTCCAGTTAGGAATTTTTTTCTAATGTCTAACTCAGTGGTTCTCAACCTGCTGCCTGTGGGCTGCTTGCAACCCAATCTGCAGACAGCTGTGCCACATGTGATATCCTCTGGGCCATACAGGTATCTATTGTGCAGATGCAGCCCACATAACACAGAGAGAGCTGCATATGCAGCCCACAATAGTAAATAGGTTGAGAACCACTGGTCTAACTTAAATATCCCTTGCTGCATTCTAAGACCATCACTTCTTATCCTGGCCACAGTGGATAGGGAGAAAAAATTATCATCCTTCTCTTTATAACAATCTTTTACCTATTTGAAGAGTGTTATGTTCCCCCACAACCACCACCACTCTTCCCTTCTCCAAACTAAAGAAACACAATTTTTTCAGTCTTTCCTAGAAGGTCATGTTTTCTAGACCTTTAATATTTTTTATTGCTTTGCTCTGGACTTTATCCACTTTTTCTACATCTCTCCCGAAGTGTAGTACCCAGAACTGGACACAGTACTCCAGCTGAGGCCTCACCAGTGCTGAGCAGAGTGGAAGAATTACTTCTTGGGTCTTGCTTACAGCACTCCTGCTAATACATCCCAGAATGATGTTCACTTTTTTTGCAATTGTATTGCATTTTCTACTCATATTTAGTTTGTGATCCACTGTAACCCCCAGGTCCTTTTCTGCAGTACTGCTTCCTAAGCAGTCACTTCCCATTTTGTACTTGCACAAATTAGTATTCCTTTCTAAGTGTAGTACTGTGCATTTATCCTTACTGAATTTAATCCTATTTATTTCAGATGATTTCTCCAGTTCTCCCAAGATCATTTTGAATTCTAATCCTGTCTTCCAAAGAGTTTGCAACCTTTCCCAGCGTGGTATAATTCAAAATTTATAAGTGTACTCACTATGCCATTATCCAAATCAATTATAAAGATATTGAATAGAACTGGACCCCACTCAATATGCCCTTCCCATTTGACTATGAACGATAACTACTCTCTGAGTACAGTTTTTCAGCCAGTTGTGCACCCACCTTATAGTAGGCTCATCTAGGCAAGTAATATATCAAGTGTCCTATGTATAACCTAGATAATAAGATTCTCCATGTATAAGTGTTGGTACAAAAACTTCTATATATAATTATAATAGGCCATTCATTTCACATCTCTGCATTTTTGTCTGGGAGCGGGGGGGTGGAAGAGGAGGAAAAGTCACATTTGTGAAATTGTCTGGTATTCAACAGCAAAGAGCACAAAGAATGAATTCATGTATTATCATACAATTAAAACTATTAATTCATATTTCAATAACCAATGCAAATATGTGCCTGGGGTAAGGAAGAAGTCACTAAATTATCTCTGAAAAATCATGCTGTTAACTGTAAAAATATAATGAAATAAAGAAAACGGGTTGTAATGTCTATTGTCTAGGACAGTGGTTCCCAAACTTGTTCCGCCGCTTGTGCAGGGAAAGCCCCTGGCAGGGCGGGCCAGTTTGTTTACCTGCCGCATCCACAGGTTCGGCCGATCGCTGCTCCCAGTGGCACGGTTCGCTGCTCCAGGCCAATGGGAACTGCTGGAAGTGGCGCGGGCTGAGGGACATACTGGCCGCCGCTTCCAGCAGCTCCCATTGGCCTGGAGCAGTGAACCGCAGCCACTGGGAGCCACGATCGGCTGAACCTGCGGACGCGGCAGGTAAACAAACCAGCCGGCCCGCCAGAGGCATTACCTGCACAAGCGGCAGAACAAGTTTGGGAATCACTGGTCTAGGACAGCAGTACGTTACTAATTTAACTTATCTAACATCCCATAAAAACTTAGGGAGATTTGTTCCCACTTATACCGGACCTAAATTTTGGTTCTGCATTGCTCTTTTTATCCATAATTGTTTATTTGGATCAGATGATGTTATTTCTGTGACTCATTTTTTAAATGAATTCTATGCAAAGTTTAAGCAGCTAGAAACCTGAATTTATGCAAGGAAATATGAGTACAAGTAGGGGGTAAATACTTGTAAATACTGTGTAGCTGGATTCTTCACAAGGTCAGAAACTTGAACCAGTACAAGTCTCGGCTGCTGATACCCGCCTTTTTGTTAACCTTTCCCACAGATAAAACAAAGTAGAATGACATTTGGCAGATCACTTACCATGTAAACCTTAAAGCTCATGTTCTTTACAAAATGAACACAAAAGATGAAGATAAAAGGTTATTGTATAACATAATCTGTTGGGGAACTAGCTGGCTCAAGAGAGGGCTAATGGGATATAGTGTGGATAAGCTGGTAGAAGGCAGTGATGAAGGAAGAGGCCTCTGCAAGTTCTCTTCCCCACAATTTTATAGCTCATTGGTTGCCACAAGCAAAATAAAACAGTTTTATACAACTACACACAAAACAGCAAAGCACCAACCTAAAGTACAGATCTGGCACACAACTGGATGTACAGCGCTTGTGCCACTGTGGCACCCTAGCGTAGATGCTTCCTAAATTGACAGAACAGATTTTTCTGTTGATGCAGTCAATCCACCTCTTGGAGAGGCAGTAGCTAAGCGGCCAGATGAATTCTTCCATCAACCTAGCTGTATCTGCACTGGGTGTCAGGTTAACCTAATTATAGTGCCCAGGGCACAACATTTTTCCACAGCCCTCAGCAAAGTAGGTAGGTATAGACCAGGCCGAAGGGTCTACTTGGAATTTCATTCCCCAGCTCTGTTTCCTGGCTCTGCCCTGTACACCTGTTGAAGATCTAAGTAGAAAGTTAACAACCTGCTTGCTGGAAACCAGGCTGGTTTTGTATGCCTTGCTGCAGTGTCTTTCTGGCAGCAAACACATTTCTGGTGGGCAGTTATAAAGGTCACCATTTTATGGCTGTTGGATGGCCACTACAAAGTGAATCCAGCCCAACACATTATGAGGTGCATATGTAGATCCTGAACCTACAGCTCAAAACTACTATTATAACCAAAACCATTTATGATCAATCTCAGCAAAGACATCAAAAATAACTGGACATAGGGGCTGAATTGTCCTTTCACCCCCAGAAAGAGCTGTTTCCAACTCAGGAATGAAGAAATTTAGTCACTATGAGGAACTCAACAAACGAACAAACAAAAACCAACCATTCTATTTGGTACTAATTACTCTACTTACTAGAGCAGCCGGTGCAACAAAAACTCCCAGCTTCTGCTACTCTGGTTTAGAAGAAGCCAGGTTGCTTTCTGACTTTCCAAAAGAGCTTTAGGATTTGGGGAACAGTGTTCTTTACTTAGCAGCAACCACTCCCCTGAAACTGTGCGATGGGACCATCTGTAGTCAGCATCTATCTCCATACAGAGTAAGTTGGGTAGAACAGGCAATCAACCCGCTCCTTTGGCCAGAAGACAACAAAGGTAAGTTTTTGAGGGAGGAAGGCAGGTCGGGGGGTCAAGTGTAAGCTGCAGCAGCCTGGGCTCACTGTTTTTTTGTTTTGTTTTGTTTTGTTTCCCCCAAAATGTAAAAACTGCTTTATTGGTTGCAGTTAACATGTTACAATAAATATTGATCCCAAACATGAAATCAACCATGTATGACAAAGACAAGCATGATCCCTGAAGAATTACATGAAATTGGACAAAGAGATGTTAATTAATGAAGCATCTTGTAAACTGAAATCATTTCACTTTCTTGGGCATTGCAGCTACAAACAGCTCATAAACAGCATAGCATGTTCCAAAACTGTTAGAGCCATGGTGGTTCTATACAGCAAACTATCTGCTAGTCCACCCTTAAGATGCACTGGCATTCCATTATCCTCCTGAGAAAGCTTCTGCTTCTTTGGAACTCTGTTTGCGACTTGTCTGTGTGAAGCAGTGCTTATGGTCCTCTGGGAAATTTGCCGAAGAGCCAGCAGGTTCTGCAGCATATTGGCTCTGGTCCCTTCACCTCGGCTCACTGTTCCCAGGTAAAACTATAAGCCATTTTGATGTGGGGGAGGCTAGTGGAATTAGGCTTCTAGCAAAGCCTCTTGTACCTCTGCCCCAGAGCGCTAATTCAAGTGTACTAAGTTATACTGACAATTGTTGACATACATGCAGCTTAATACAGCTCTTAAGGTAGTCTGCAGAGTTTACTTAAATTCTTAAGTGATGTTTCTAGCTGCTCATATGTGACTCAGTGCTCTGTGGGTGAAACCCTCCGCAGTACAAGAGCTACAAACAAGGCCTTTGTCTCCATTTATGTCCTGCTTAATGCAGGACTTAGATAGTGAAGGGGCCCTAGCATTAGACTTCTGTGCTGGTATGAATTTTGTCTTCTCTTGCTAATTCTCTAGCTAACTCATTTGAAACTTAAGTATCAAAGCTGCAAACTACCTCAATCACTTTAAAGGGGCATTAGCTTCAAAGCTTATTTCTGGCTATTAAATGCTGACTCTGTTAGAGCATCAAGCCAAAAACCAAACACCTGACTTGTCACTGAAATGTAATTATAAGGGACAGCTGTGTGCAGTTCTGGTTTTGACCCTGAGGAGCCATGCAAAATGAAATGCCACAAAACCAGAAGTGCCCTATGACAGCTTAATGGAATTGAAGCAAACAAAATCTATATGTGATAGATTTTGAATTGCTGCTTCTAATGGAGCATTACAGAACATCACTTCAATTAATGAGCAGTTTAACTCATTGGCATAAACTAAAATGACTTTCAAAAGTGTATTTACTTAGGATCAAATTCTTTTCCCAGCATGCAGTAAATGGTCTGTGTGCTGAGGTGGGCAATGGGAAGGAATGGAATCTTAACCGTTCCATGATGGCTGCTCTGTCTCCGAGCTGCTGAACACCATGTCTCCTGTACTCCTCTGCACTGTGGAGGAACGAATGGCTGGTGGATCCATGTAGTAGCGCATCCACCCACACCTAAACTGCACTAGGACACAAAGCCTCTGCAGAGGATCAGGCGATGTAAACACAGTACTTGTGCTCTTAGAATTCTATAGTACCCCCTCTCTCCAAGGTGATCCTATTGTTTCAAGAAAAAAGAAAAGGAGGACTTCTGGCATCTTAGAGACCAACAAATTTATGTGAGCATAAGCTGTAGCTCACAAAAGCTTATGCTCAAATAAATTTGTTAGTCTCTAAGGTGCCACAAGTCCTCCTTTTCTTTTTGCGAATACAGACTAACACAGCTGCTACTCTGAAACCTATTGTTTCAAGAGCATTCAGCGAGTATGGAAAGAACAGTAGGATTTGCTTCATATATTTTAAGGTCCCTGGGGCAAAAATCTGTCTTCTGTGCTCTATGAGGCAAAGCCCACTGAAGTCCGAGTGAGTCTTTCCATTGGCTGTGAAGGGCTTTGGAACAGACCCTATACTTTGAGTACTGTGTCCATTGGCGTGCACACGGGGTGTGCTCAGGCACACCCTAAAGCAGGGCAAAGCTCTGGGGCTGCGTGCTCCCGCGGGGCACCGTGTCTGGCTCCGCGCTGAGCCAAACGCTGCTAGGAGCCTCACGGTTAGGGGGGCCCGGAGGTTGGATAAGGGGCAGGGGCAGTCAGGGGACAGGGTGGGTTGGATACATAGGCGGGGAGATGGGCCATGGTGCCCATGCTCCATGGTTCGGCAACGTGAGGTGGGGCCGCCTCACCTCGGGGGCAGCTCCCCCTTCCCCGGCATCCTCTGTGCACTGCAGAGAGTCTCGGCAGAGACCGGGCAGCTCCACACGCTGCCTCCGTCCCCAGTCCCAGAGCTGACCCGGTTCCCAGCCCATTGGCCAGGAAGTTGGCCAATGGGAGCTGTGGGGGGGGGGAGGCGGTGCCAGAGCTGCCTGACCGCGCCTCCCCAGCAGGGAGGGGGAGGGAGCTGCAGGCAGAGAGAGCAGCCGGAGTCTGTCACTGTCAGACACAGATGTGGGGGCAGACAAACAGATGGAGCCGGGGGCAGGAGAAAGGAGCAGCGATGGGCACCCTGGGGCTGGCATAAAATACACAGTACAGAGGGGGCTTCCTGAGGGGTATAGCAATACTCCCTTCCCGCACAGACCAGCCCGGGGCTGCAGCTGGCTCTGTCCATCACTCCCCCCCACCCTACCCCACAGAGACCCCCACAACTCTCTGCCCCCCTGGAAGATCCCCACCAGCCCCTGTGCCCCCATCATCCCTTTCCAGAGAGCCCCCCCCTTTGTGCCTCCAGAGACAGCTCCCCTCCCCTCTGCCTTCCCCCTGCTGCCCCCAGTTCATTGGCCAAGAGGCTCCCAGACTGTTGGCCACCAAGCACAATGGGAGCTGCACCTGAGGCAGGGGGCCTGCTTGCAGATGCAGACTTGCCCGGCTGTGCCTCCACGGCATGGGGAGAGGGCACCACAGGTGAGCAAACCCCAGTCATCATCACAGGCACAGCAATTCTCTGGATATTTAATTTCACTGAGGCAAATAATTTAATCTACTCTTCCTTTCCAGACAGTTTGTGGCTTTTCTTGTAAGAAAACTTACAATTTCTTTGCAAAGAAGTCCAGTTATACACTTGAGAAGTGTATTTTCTGATTGTTCAAAAGCTCATTTATTTTGTTAACTCAGTTTCATAGGGAATTTTAGAAGTCACTTGAATCGTAACTTTTTTTTTCCATTGGTCCAAAAACACATGGAAGATGTGCAGATTTTTATTTCTGTGGGCCAAACCATGTAGAAATGTAAATGTCAGAGCTAGAAAAGCGCTGCAGGGGTATGGGTAGGGGTCCCTCAGGAAATTGTCCTCAAGTCATTCATTCTTCTGGGCGTTCCATTCTATTGTTCCCTCTTACAGTGATAGAGATCAGTGTCTCCACCCACAGGGGAGATGCAGAAGACTGGGCCAACCCTACAGCCACTCTGCCTCTACCCTTGTTCTCTGTCTGCTCCCTCTACCTGCCCCTTTGGTCTCCCTGGGATTCCCCCTACCATTACTCCCTCTGGGTCTTCTTTCTCTGGAGCTTCTCTGTAATGTATTTAATTTTGATGTATTTATTAAGTGTTAATTAATGCACTATGGGAGTCCCCCTTCAGCCCTCTGTATAAATTGATCCTCTTCTTTCTATATGTTTTGCCCATTGGGTTTTCTGCAGCGCTAGGGCAGCTAGCAATAACACCTGCGCCTTTGCAATGGGGTGAAGGAAGGGGACCATGAGATCCCTATTTATGTGATTTGTGAGAGGTGTTATCATTACTTAGGGTACCAAATGTGTTAAAATGATATAAGTGCCTTGTAAAATCCCAAAGCAAGCTCATTTTCATTTCTCATATAATAATCTCATATACAGTATACACACATTTTTCATTAATTTTATGAGTTGATTTTAGTATTATTAATAATTATTATTATTTATTATTAACTAGGTTACTGGTTTTTTTCAGTGTGGAAAATTGTGTGCTAAATGTTCACCTTTAAAAAAATAAATAAATAAAATTCTCTGGGTGCACACCCTAATGAAATGTACTGCACATGCCTATGACTGTGTCAGGGCTTAACAAAAAGAGTTTTGAACTATGGGGTTTTTTTTCCTCAGAGGAAAAAGCAAAGCTATTTCCACTGAACTTTTTGCCTCTTTTCTTCAGAGAATTGAAAGTCTCCTAGTGGATTTGAATTTTCCCTTCTGATAAGTAATTCTTGTATTGTTGACATGTAAACAAAATTTGGCTATTTTGGTTGCATGCAATTTTGTCCCAAGATAAAATGAGTAAATATAAGCAAACACTAATTAATCTGGTATATAGACTACCTTTTGAGAATAAAAGTATGTTCTTATGTGGATTTGATAAAGATTTAGCACACAATGTATTTTATCAGATAGAAACATCTTTTTTGGCTAAGTGATCCATGTTTGCGCAAACTTATTTATGTATCAAAGTACGATTTTATACTTTGACAGTTTTTAGTGCTTTTAAAAATTCTCACTTTTGAGTAAAGAGATTAAATGGTAATGTGTGGGGAAAGTTGAGAGTTATTTATTGTGGGATAACTGTGTTTGTCTGCACGGTGCAGTTTTTGTTGTGGATATATATAAAATAGAGAATGTGCCATTAGCTTTATACGGAAGACCTTATGTCAAGTCCAAGTCTCAACACACAATCAGTCATTACATGGACATAAAAGGATATCATTTATAGTATGATTTCAGTGATCAATTAATTTATCTAACCTCATTCGTTGTACAGAACTATATTGTATTAGAGATACACAAGCAAAAAAGAACATGAGTGGCATTTTATTATTAAATTTTAAGAACTCTTCTTTAAAATAAATTAATTCTATAAACCATAGGATTAAATAAGAAACCTTTTCTGATAAAAAAAAGCCAGGAGACCAGTTTTCTATTATTGATGCACTAGTCTTAGGATAAACTAGACCTAAGCTAAGAGTGACATCCAGTGGAAAGATTGTCCTGATTCTTTTCTGTCTTTAATGCTGTTCAGAAAGCAGCTTTCACTCAAATAATTTATCAATCAACAAATTCGTATTATAAAAAAATGATTGGCGAGACAGGCTGATTTATATATAATTGAGAAGATTCTGGGCCAGATCTTGATCCCACTGAAGTAACAGGCAAAATTGCCAGTGAGAGGAGAGACAACTTGGCTGTTTAGATAGGTTCTGGACTGCTATCAGGTTTTATAATCAGCCTAACATTAGAGTAATAGTATCCTTCTGGTACTTCACCCATGTAGAATATGGTTTGGGACCCTGGTTATTCATGGTCTTATTGTTATTGGCTACTTACGTTATCTTCACTGCTATCCCATCCATGCACAATCTCTTAACAGCATGACCATGAACACCACTGAAAAAGAAAGATTAACAATCCTCCTTTATTAGCATTTCTTTGCACCACATAGAAAGTCTAACTGAGTTGTTATTTACTTCAGGGCCTAAATTCATATCTGGTATCATCAAATTCAGCTCCATGGGGGAGCAA